AATACCCCACAAAATATGCCCCAATATTCTCCCAATGCCCGCTCCGACTCCGTTCTGGACTTTTACTTTACGGGTTCCCTGGATGTGGTAAAACGCTTCTTGCCAGCGCCGTTGCAGGAGAATGTGGCCTCAATTTTATCAGTGTGAAAGGCCCTGAGATCCTTAACAAGTATATTGGCGCCAGTGAAAAGAGCGTGCGTGATCTTTTCGAAAGAGCCGAAGCTGCTCGGCCTTGCATTCTCTTCTTTGACGAGTTTGACAGTATTGCACCGAAGCGTGGTCATGATTCCACCGGTGTGACAGACAGAGTCGTCAATCAGCTCTTGACACAGATGGACGGTGCCGAGGGCCTGTCAGGGGTGTATGTCCTGGCAGCGACCTCTCGACCAGACTTGATTGACCCTGCCTTGCTACGGCCTGGTCGTCTTGATAAGTCCTTGTTATGCGATATGCCCAACCACGCCGATCGCGTTGATATCATCCAAGCTCTGAGTGGAAAGCTAAAGCTCAGCGATGATGTGATGTCTCGGTTGTATGAAATTGCAGGCCGGACAGAAGGATACTCTGGCGCCGACCTTCAGGCCGTTGTATATAACGCCCACCTCGAAGCTATCCATGACGCTCTGGGAGACCGAACACCAGCTCCAGAAACCACAAAGTCCTCCAAGAAATCAAAATCATCCTCATCCGCCGAAAATAGTGAAACTTCCTCGAAATCCTCTCAAGCCAATAGACCCTTCATTCAATTCCTATACGATTCGAAAGAACATACTCTCGCCACTACCTCCAAGGGCGTGAGAAATACCGCTCTAGATCCGCCGGCTGTCATTGCAGCTAAAATCGAAGAACTCAAGAAAGCCCATCAACGCCAAAAGCAGGCACAACGCAATCCTATATCGGACCCAGCGTCAAAGATTGATGCGAATAATGCTTCTGGCGATGCGGGACTAGACGATGATGATAAGGACTCAGATGAGATCAGCATTGAATGGACACATATTGAGCGGTCGCTTGCTACCACTCGCTGTTCCATTAGTGCAGTAGAAAGGAAGAGGTTAGAAAGTATATATCGCGAGTTCATCGTGGGCAGAAATGGGGAGATGCCTACTGGTGAAGGCGCAAGAGACGTTGGAGGCCGAACGACATTGATGTAATTTTATATATGAATATACCATTTTTTATTCCCCTTTTCTACTTGATATTTTCGATATCTTTTGTTTGATGAAATGGAAACTGTATTCTTGTATAGTCATTGACTAACAGTTTCCCTAGGGAGCAATTGTTGGAAGCTAAGGCAAATTCTACAGTTATTTCATATCAGAATCCCTCGGGGTCCGAAAGAAACAGACAAGAAACATATGCTAATAGAAGAACAAGCAGTAAAGGTTGTCATAAACTAGTTCATTAAAGACTAAGGAGGAAGTATTTCAGGGGGTCGTTCTCGAATTTGCGATTCCTATAACAAGGATATCAGTCGCACCAACAGCCGATAGGTCGTCCATGACGGTAGCAATCTGCTTCTTTTCTACCATGGCGCTGACAGCAACCCAGCCCTCCTCTTCCAGGGCAGTAATGGTAGGAGCCCGCTTTCCAGGCGTTATGGCACAGGCATTGGACAAGATGTTACGAGGAATGTTATACTGGCAGAGCACATATTTTTTGGCAGCTAGTTAGAGGGACTGTTAGTATGGACTGTTGAGTTTAGTAGATTCTAAACAAACTTACTGATAACACCACGTATTCTTGGAACTATGAGGTCGACTAGGGGGTTGGTGGTCTTTCGGGACTTGACAAGGACGGCATTGGTGCAGAGCACTGTATCGATAGCCTTAAGTCCAGCAGCTTTCATCGTCTCGCCAGATTCTATAGTTTTAAGTTAGATAGATGAGCAATATGCGGTTAGAACCGCGAACGAAAACATACCGACAAGATCAACAATGCCATCAGCTACTCCCAGAGCACAAGCAGCCTCCACACTGCCGCCGACATACTTGATCTTAGTCTGTATATCCCAGCTTCCGTCCGCTTTCCTACTGGCACCCTCCAATTTGGCAAAGTAGGACTCTGCAAGGCCCGTGAAGCTAGTAACGACATTCTTCCCAATGAGTTCCCTAGGGTCAGTTATGGGGCCTTTCTCCGGAACTTGGACCTGTAGCTTGCATCCGCCAAAGCCAAGGTCCAGTATCTCCTCCACCCCGGACTGCTCGCCTGGTGGCCGACGGATATCATGCTCGGCCACTTGGTCTTGCCCAGTAATGCCTAGATCGACACGACCTTCACCGACGAAGGTGGGTATATCAGCTGCCGGCAAAAAGATAAGGGCCACCGGAAGGTTCTTGACAAGAGCTATATCCAAACGGTGCTCTCTGCGGAATTGAATATCTGATCCGTCCAGCAGATCGATTGTAGCCTGCTGCAGACGGCCCTCTACAGTGAGTATATCGTGTTAATTGCAGCTGTCCTTGTATTTCCATAGGGCGGGGAATGGGCTGGACTTGCTCTTGGGCACTGCGAACAGCAGCCGGCCTTCTAGACTTTGTTCCCGGGTCAGCGCACCCGTCTGCCAATTTGTAGGGCCATTCATCGTATAGCAACTAGTAATAGGAATAGCTCACTGGTTTACCAAATCCATTTCCAACAGAGTCTTGAGAGAGACGAACGTAGCAGAGAGGGGTGTGAGTCAACGGTGCACAGCTGGCGGCTGATATAACTTCACCGAGCAAACCCCCCAGGATGCGGAGAAGCAGCAGTAAACGAAACGATATGTAGTACAGGGCCCCGGCTCCCGTGGTTAACTGTTCAATATCTGAATAATGTGCAGTTTAGTTTTAAAGTCGCAAAATGAGTCTTTTTGCAATGGTGATATAGCTTGTCTGCTAGTTCGGGCCAATCGCGAGCCCGGGAAGAAGTTCGGATCGTCTCTGATAAGGACTTCTGGGCCACCCAATGACATGTGGACTGTAGACTCCCACTTAGCTAGCAGTTAAAGGACTCTCCTTTTGACAGGAAAGCTTCTCTGCGCCACCTGATTAACCTAGTTGATTTTACCCTTTTGATTGCATTATGTATTACGGATACTCCGCTGGCTGTGGGAGAGGGTGTAGTAGAGGCTGGCTATATTGCGCTAGATATAAGGTAATATCGTTTATTCAAACGCTGATAGATAAATTGATGCAGGCATACGAGTCCTTCCCCGCCAATGAGAGGTTATCTCAGACAGAGTGCCCTTGACCATAGGCAATGATAACGATGCGTCTGGGGAAGTACCGCTCTCGATGTACACCACCATGACGGCCTTGAAAACAGCCGTCGAGCATCCATGTTAGTCAAGACGCATGCCCCGGATCCTTCCCGGGCCCCGGTCAGCTTTAAAATAAGTGCATGGGTTATTCCAGGCAGTCTGCATATTGGTTTGACTGATGGCTGGCTGTAAACATGCTAGACTTATTTCCATGGCTAGAAGTGATTACTCTGCCAGCCTTCTTAGGAGTAGAACTTCTCAGGCCTGTATATCAGGGACACGGGGAGACCTTAACCAAGTGCCGTAGGCAGTCCTAGCAGCGCCGTTAGCCGTGATTCAGCAAGGGAGCATAGCATGGTTATCGGATGTCCTACGAAGTACGGTTAGTCCAGATCTAGCTTACCGTCTGTCGCAACCGGTCACTCCTATCATGATCATTTCCCATCTCGCTGGCTGCCTCAGGTACAACTCGTAGCAGGATCTTCCTCAGACAACTCGTCTTAGCTTCAAACATCACCACCAACCGCTTCGTCCTTCATCTCCATCGTCATCTTCATCTTCTTGTTGCTGTCGAGAAGTTCAACGTCGACCTTCCCTTTTGAAACTCTGGCTTAGGGCTTAGGGCTATGTCCGTATCAGGCTAGCGTGGTCTTCCGGGTAAACCTTCCGCCGACGCTCACCGCCAAGCCCGATCTGGCGGGCCGCGGGTCGGCAGAAACTGCTTCCCACAAACAACCAAAATTTCGAGCTTTTTTGTGTTATCGCGAACTTCGACCTTCTTCAACTTCGACCACCTCGAACCACCGCAGCAACGAAGCCAACGCCCTCCAGCTCTCCCTCCATCATCTCTCCATCCGCAATCGCCCAACATGGATGCTGGCAAAGTTCCCGCCAAATACGCTAAGGTGACCGCCGTTCTCGGTCGCACTGGTACGTTCAGCCCACCAGCATAGACGGGGAATATCGACTCAAGGGATATGGGAAGAGGAGGCGCAGAAAGATATCCTTGTGCATGATATACGGGAAGAAAGTGATATATGTCGCTGAGGGATGAAAGGCTGATTTCGTTTTTTCTTTGCTTGGAATAGGTTCCCGAGGAGGTGTCACTCAGGTCCGCGTTGAATTCATGGACGACTCCAACCGAAGCATTATCCGAAACGTCAAGGGCCCAGGTATGCGCCTCTGCTCTATCTCGGTTTAGAGAGCTCTCAATCTGCCTTTTTCAAGGAGATGACGGGGAACTGGTTGCAATTTGAAGCGTCCCATAACTAACAAATATCACTTTTAGTCCGTGTCGACGATATCCTCTGTCTCCTTGAATCCGAAAGAGAAGCCCGCAGACTCCGATAGACGCGAGTTGTTTGGTGGTGGCCATGATAACGGAGAGGTGTTTACATTGGGCGCGATTTCCTGTTACTATTACTGGTTCTTAATTCGAAGCCTTTGATGTCCCAAAAATAAACGAGATCAAGAGATTCAAAACAACCTCCTACTTCGTCCTCGCTTTCCCTTTCTCCTTCTCTGGTTGGACCGAGCATCGATTTGAGAGATCAGGTTAAAAAAAGACACGGAATGTCATGGCGGACAATTCCATGAAATATCATGGGTGCGATTGACCATGGTTACTTTCGTATTTTTTGATACCCGAAAGTTCAACGGGTAAGAACTTCTCGAATTAAGGCATTACCCACGCATCAGCCAAGGAAGTCATTTATATGGTACATCTATATCATAGCTGGTAGCACACCCAAGCGCTATATTACAACAATTCAATGTCATTGAGAAGGCGTTCAACTTGCTCTCCAGCACTATCACTTGTGGTCTCATCAGACAAGGTCTGGAATATACCCCGGAGAACGCCTCCCATCTTTTTTCTGCTGATCTTAGCCTCAAGCTCTTGGGACTTGACCTGAGCTACCTCCAATATTCCAGCTGGAATATTTGCAAGCTTGGCAACATTCAATCCATATGATCGGTGAGCCACTCCTTCACCAATTTCATATAGGAAAGTAATGTCCTGTCCATGATCCCCGCTTTCAGTAAACTTCATGTGGACATTGCGTAATTCACCGCCTGGAAATGCACTTGCAAGCCGACTCAGGTTCTGGTAGTGTGTGATGAACAGGGTCAAACTTCTCAAGTTGCGAACCATGTAGTCAAGCACTGCCTGTGCTATAGCCACTCCATCGTGCGTAGACGTTCCACGACCTAACTCATCGAGTATCACTAGTGAACGAGGCGTAGCTTGTTTCAAGATATCGGCCGTTTCCGATAGTTCGACCATGAAAGTAGACTCGCCTGCAAGCATGTTGTCAAATGCCCCCATACGAGTGTACACGGCGTCAAGCATTCCTAACGTAGCGGATTCAGCCGGCACGTATGAGCCAATCTGACCCATGATGCAGATTAAAGCTATCTGGCGGACATAGCTAGACTTTCCTCCCATATTGGGACCGGTAACCAGTAAAGCCCTGGTTTCATCCGTGCTTAGCTGGGTATCATTGGGCACATAGGAGTCAATCAGAACCTTCTCAACCATCGGATGACGGCCTTGAGAAATGTTGATGATCGTGTCATCCGTGTATGTGGGCTTGACATAGCCTGGCTGCGCGGCAATCACAGATAGCGAGTGCAATGCGTCAATTGTCGCGAGAGCTTGGATACAGTCCCGAAATAGCTGGTACTTCGTTGAAATATCCGACAGCAGCTTCAAGAATGCTGCGTCACAAGCAGCAGCCAATGACTCCTTTTGTTGGTCCCTTTCTCGCATCATCTTCACGACTTCAGGGGTATGGAAGCGTGATACCTTTTTAGTTCCACTAATCTTCCGCCAGGAGGCTGGTACTTTCTTCAAAGCACCTTGAGAGTTCTCAACCTCAACTAAATAGTCGATCCCTGCAACTGAAACATACTGGACTTTCTTTTTGCCTAGAGTCTCGGCTATAGACTTTAAATGGTCTTTGAGCTCATACTCTATCGTTCCGATCATCAGACGATGTTCGCCGATCTCCTCTGACTCCTCTGACTCGCGGAAAAAGTCATATTTGTCATCCTTCTTTGCGGCTGTTTCATTGATTTTATTCAAGTATGAAACGACGTCATCATGCATTGTAGGCAGGATGGCAATTGATTCGCTTAGAATAGGGGACTTGAACCCAGAGTCAGCCGGGGACTTTACATGGGCAAAGCTCACGGCAATTGACTGCATGCTTTTGAGCATCGTCAACAGCTCCGGCCGGGAGCACTAGTAGTAGTAATTAGAATATCAACTAATGTCAAAACAAGCCAGTTTTCCCACTTACCTTCCCGTAATACACCCGTATCAAAGCCTTTTCAAGATCTACTCTGACCTGCGACAAGGTAGCCCCTAGGTTGTACGTAAGAGTAGACTTGTCAGAGTCAAGCAGTTCTGTAACCGCCTCTGTGCGCTCCTCCAACTTTACTTTGTCTAGCAATGGTCTCCCAACCCATCTGCGAAGTAGGCGTTGGCCAAACTTTGTCCGCGTCCGGTTCATGCTCCAAAATAAACTGCCTTTTGACGAGTAGTCTGTCTGGTTTTGGTATATCTCTAGATTCGTTAATGTGTTTCCGTTCAGCAGCATATGAGATCTTGCAGAAAATGACTGAAAGTATTTCGTCAAATCAAAAACATGTTCAAGCCCATACTCTGTCAAATGCTTAATCATAGCAGATAGGCAGATGGTCACGTCGTCAGGTAGCTTAAGCACCTGATCTAGCAGATTGCTCGCGTTTGCATCCTCTGGTGAGCCAGTAGCGGCCATCTTTCCGGCATAGAAGCTGGATATATGACTATGTGCTTCGGCTGCCGCAGTCTTAGATTGCTCCCTCCGCTCAATTCGAACACTATCCCCAAAGGTAGTCATTCTACCTTTGGACAGATGCTGAACAAGCTTATTGGTTGCAGCGGACAGATCACCAATCAAGAGCAACTCGCAGGGGGCAATATGGAGCAGTCTGGTTTCAATCTCGCTCCTCATGAATCCATCCTCGAAACTGTCATATATGACGTTCCCAGTCGCTGGCTGAACCGCAACAATTCCGATTTGAACTTTCTCGCCATCTCCTTGCCCTTTAGCACCACTCTCCGTCAAACACAGTAAGTAGCCTGTAGACGGTTCCAGAGCACCAGACAGTTCAAGTTCAGCATCGTCTTCAATATACGTTGCCTTGGTATACATATTGGTAAGTTTCCGCACGAACGGTGCATTTCTGTTATCTCCAGCAGCCTTTAGCGCGGCGGTCTCCAGCTGTTTTACAACGCCGACTTTATATCCAGCTGCCACCAGTCGTTTGACATGTACATGGAGACGGTGGATAGGTACACTTGCGGATGCAAAACGAGTCAGGTGTGCTTCTGATGGATCTGTAGCTACCGTTAGCCATAATATTCCATTGTATATATAGAACAAGGGAACTAACGCTCGTCAAACCTAAGTTTCCCCGGTATACACACTATACTGAGAACCTTGGCTGCTATTCTCGCATCCTCACCATAAAACTGGTACTTGTACCCAACCTGGATGAGCAACACGGCGTCGAGATGTTTGTTCTTGATCTCCATTATTTGCCTCTCCATTGGTGTTAGCTTAGATCCTCCAGCTTTCTTCGCAGCTCTACCCTTTGGAGCAGGAGGCGGGCTATCTTCTTCCTCCTCGTCACTCGCTGCACCTTCAACAACTGGGTCTACTTCTGAGGCACCGTCATGGGGGTTTAATGCTGGAAGACAGTCCGGCCCACCCAGCCGACGCACGAATTTCTGATGCAATTGGTCCTTCTTTTTGCGCTCTGCAGGTGATATTTGTTCGTCCGTCGTGGGTTGCACGGGTGAGGATTGGAACCGGAATCTCTCTGCTCGGGATGCAGAAGATTGAGGTTCCGTGTTTTGTATAGGACTTGAAGGTCGGAGCTCTTCTCCCTCTTCATCCACCTCTTTATCATCATCATCTTCTTCTGTATCATGGTTTCCAGTTACTGGTTTCTCTGATCCATTCTCAGGAGCCTTCCATGCATTGCTTCTTATCCGCTTTTTAACTGGGAGTACGACCTCATCCTCGTCCTCGTCTTCCTCGACATCTTGTTTTGTACCATTGGTCTTTGCTTTTGGCGAAACTTTCGACTTTGACCTGCCAGGTAATTCTTGAGTAGATTGATGGCTTGTATCCCTTTTCCCGTTCTTCTGTTCGGAAATGCTCCCGCCAGACGACGGACTGGGTACAGTTTTGGTGAAGAAGCTAGATATGGTCTGTTGTTTTCGTTTCAGACTTGGTGTTTGACTCATTATTCAATTGTTTCCGCTTCGCAGACGAAGTTGACTCACAACTAGTCTGATAAATATGTCCGTCAATGGGCAACTATGCTGTCGTTGCACTCCGTTGTCCTCTGGTATCAAATTTGGAGCTGTTCTTCAAGACCTTTTTTTGAACGCGTCGAAATCGCGTGTAGTCGCCATGCTTAGGTAATATTCAATTTAATCGCAGTTCGGCTACCACGTGACCGTTTCTGGCATCCTATCGTACGAAAGTAATGTTATTATTATCATGACGTTTTTTGGCAGGACTTCTATAAACTGATCTATGTATGCCTGACTGCAAAGTTTTAGAAAATCAAAAAAATGCATACTAAGTATCAATAGGTAAGTTTAAAACACCTATGATCATCTCACTAGTTAATAATGGGAATCGTTCATCATGCGCGAGTCGTTGTTTGAACCGTAATAGTTGGAGCGGTTTGACTATCAGCTGGCTGGGGTCACAGCATAGCCTTTGAAGGTGACTGCTGACCAGCGGCTCACAGTAGAAAATATATATATAAAAAGAGTAATAAGTGTAATTCATGTGAGTGTAGGCAGGCCCTCCAGAACCCTAGTAATCACTCTAGAGGGCCATTGAAATACATCCGAGCAATGTCATCGTGGCCCATTTCAGCCACGGGGCTTTTGGGAGATGCGTTCTGGAAAACTCCTGGTGTCTGCTGACCAAATAAGTCTCTGGTATCAACGGTCATAGTATCCCTAATGCCAGCCCTATTGGAACCAGAGTCACAAGATTGCTGAGAGGCGGCATAAGACAAGGGGTTCGTCGAGTATCCATAGTTATCGTTCTCATTTTGGGATGGATATCCGTAATAGTACTGTTGCTTCTGAACATTTCGCTCATGGGAAAACATAGGGTCAATATTCTCTTTCCCACGGTATGCTTCTAGTGTGATAAAGGTATTAGCCGGGACCTTATTTTAGTGGATGTAAACAAAGCTACCAACCAGTACTTGGAGGTTTAAAGGGGCCATAATACGGTGCGTTGGCGGAATTTTCGAGTCCATACTTGGATGTGTTAAAGAGCGCATTGCGGTGGGTGTCCAGCGGAGGATAGTTCATAGGATCGCCGTGACCACCGAGCAGTAATGCCTGCTGAGACAGCTTTTCGAGCTGAGCAGCGCGGCTCTGCTCCCTAATCCTCATCCTGTATCTGTTTTGTGCCATCTGGACATTTCCACTCAACTGAGACATGGGTCGTCTACGAGGACGGGTTACCTTCGTCTTCGAGATAGGAGTCTCTCCCTTCAGAGGGCTACTATCGTCAACCATCCCAGAGATGACACGCTGTTTCCGAAGGGTACCGTTAGGGGAGAACACTAGCTCGGTAGGTTCGACGCTTTCGGATGTCTCTTCCATTTGCTTGATAATGGAGCCATCCTTCTTCTGATTGCGTTTGCGTCTCATTTCTTCAGTTGCAGAATCAAAAATATCCATGCCAGGCCAAAAGACCCCTTTCAGCCGGTTCACCTCATCGCTTCCACGCTGACTCTGGTCTTCCTGGTCATCATACTCATACGCAGCATCATCGTCAATGAAGGGATCGGGACTGATGGATCGCCGAACGAAGCGAAGAGATGGGTGTAACAACGACGCTCTCCTCATTCGCCTGGCCATCAGAGGACTCCCCTCTCCGTCTGACTCTGTCTCATCTCCATCCTTCCATACGGTTTGCACCGACGAGGCTTGCAGAGTGGTCTGGGGCTGATATTGAGTTTGTTGGTGCCAGCCATATCCAGGCTGAGGATTGGGGTTGATCATACTAGAAACAGACATGGGAGAGTATGTTCTGCCAGAGATACGGTTTCCTTGAGCGTCGTAGGTATAGTAATTCTGGGAGAGCTGGGGATCCAAGAAGCTAGGAAGCGAACCTCTCCTAGGACTGGATGTAATAGGGGCATTCCGGTTGGTAGGTGGAGCCACAGTTGTCGACGGCTGATGAGAAAAGGCAACCGGAAGGCTTGAGCGGTTACTGGCACGGGAGCCTTTGCCAGTCCGGGCTTCTTTTGCCAGCATACGGTCTGACAACAGGTTGGCCAGCTTATTCTGCTTATACCACCGGTCATATGCAGCCAGCAGCTCGCCAGCCTGGGGTTCCTGCTGGCTGCGTACCTGTAGCTTGAAGTAGTGAGACAGATGGCCTTTCGAGCTCACATGGGTCAGAAGGTGAGAGACATCGCTGAACTTGGGCTTCCGAGGGCAGATGTTGCACTTCAGCTCCGACTGTGGCATATTGACCGAGTTGGAGTTCATGGAACTGGTATACGGGGGGGACAAGGTCTTGGAGAGAAGAAAGGAGAGAAGAGTAATACTAAGGTAGTAATACTGCAGTACAACAATGAAACTGTTCAATGGTCTCTGCAATGGCTTCTGGCTCAGACGAGAAGACGAGACGTTGCATGGAGGGGCAATCGAGATCCGCCGTCAGTGTCGATGTCGATGTCGATGTTGCTGACGGAGGGAGGAAGAGGGAGAGAAACAGCGAGGAGATAAAGAACCTCGCCGGCTGCTCAAAGGGGATATTTGTTTGTTCTTCCCTGTCGTTGGCAGAGGAAGAGCAGGCCTGGAAACGAGGAAACGCACCAAAAGTCGAGGGAGGAGGTCAAAAGAGCGGGAGAAGGAGGTTGAGATATCTCTGGAAAGAGCACGGCCGCTGTTGTTGTTCTTTTTTAACTTTCGGCACTTTTAGAAAGCAGAATAACCCAGCACAAGAGCACGACGATGGATATCAAGAGACGATAGATGTATAAAAGATGAAGAAAGATGTTTGGAGATGATAAGTTTGATCAGCTTATCACGGCGGTGTGGTAAGTTTTATGTACACGATGCGCTAATGCTCTCAGGGCTAATATATATAGACCTCCCTAAGTGGATATATGGCACGCGAGTAGGTATTTTCTTCTCCTGCCGAGTGTCCCATTGTCCATTTGTAAGGTCGATGGGCCATTAGAAGCGGGAGTTCGGGAAGAGAGAGGGAGTTCTAGTGGAATAGCTAACCGCCGGTGCAGGGTTACTTACAATTAAATAGTATATCATGGTTTATATTCACAACTATACGCAACGACCTAATGCTCTATCTGTAGCCTCCTTAGGCATACAGCTGATGTATGTTAGCAACGGGGTTCACCCTCCATATATTGTAGTTGATGCCAATGAAACGTACTATACTGGGTCTACCTCTTTCAGGCCTGGATACTTCAGCAAACTCAAACCTGTTAGCCCAAACACAGTATGGAATACATCCACCATATCCTCAGGTCTATCAGCGATACCACCATGCTCAGGATCCTAAAACAGTCAGTACGTCTCACTTCACTTTTTCAGGGTATCGTGCATATAAACAGCAGCCCTACCTGACACCGTAATATGAATGCTGCAAGCTTATCACCGTTGATCCAATGTAGTCTTCCGATCATTGCTAACGAACTCATCACCCACCAGCTATAACACACATCCTCTTTCTTTTCAGGCCGCCCGTTCAGGCCTCCATTTTCTAACTGTCGTTCACTAAGCCAGCCACCCAGCCGGTCGGTATCAACCAGATCTAGCCTGTCAACTATAGCGAGAGCTCCAACACAGGTGAATATCTGACCAGCATGTGATTCAGCCCCTGGCCTAACCCCATACCCTCCATCAAAATTGGCACAGGATTGGATATATGTCACAGCCTTCTCAGTATCGACAAGGTGTAACAGGCCGAGCAGAGAAAGTGCGTTAAACGCCCCATAAAGGAACCGGGTATCTGTTTCTCCCCACGAGTCCCCCTTAAACGTACCCGTTGAACGGTCTTGGAGGTTCGCAATCCCTATAGCACCCCCTGATTTAGCACATATCAAAATATAGCCAATCCAGGGTTCAACATACAAGAAGCAACCTTCTCTTTCCCACCGCGTCCATCCTTATTCAGTTCGTCAATCGCATCAAGCGTTACAAGAATCTGTACCGCACTAACGGTATGTAACATGTGGGCATCGTGTCCAGGCGCCGCACCGAAACCACCATCTTCTCTCTGGCAGGATAAAACAAATTCTATCGTTTTGTCGCGCGGTAGAGCATCTGGATGCCCGAGTATATGCAGTGCTGTGAGACCCCAGTAGACGCCGTTGAGCCGGAGGTGTTCCGTTAACCAATATTCAAGTTCATCTCTTCGCTGGCAAGACAGGGGTCAGCAGGGCGTCTAGCCAGAGCAGGAAAAGAAGAGGGGATGCCAGGTGAAGGGAATCTGACGCACAGTATCTAGACTCTTTATATAATCCACATGTTTTTGAGTGTAGAGCTCCTGCGCTCCAGAGGTAGATCCGCCTCTACCTGGGCCTGAGACAAGCGACATGAGTGATAGCTCGAGTAATGTAATAGATATAGCTGCGGTGATTACCCGTGTGCCTATCCGCGTGATCAAATAACAAATATTCGGATTTTTCCCGCCGTGTAGAGCGCTTCATAGAGGGATAGATGGAATATTTGTCAATGTTGTTCTGGAGCCTGGACAGAACTACGTGATGTGCATCTGTCTAGCTTTATCGGTGGGGTGACTGGGATTGGGCGATGTATAATATTAGGTTCAATTTTCATAGTTCTAATTGGTCAATCGCTCAGTTGCATCACATGACCATGGATAAATCCTATCATGTCCTTGCGTATGTAATCAACGCAGTCGACATTCTTTTTCCATTTGTGAAGTTCGTGGCTCTCGCCAGTCAGTCACTTCAGGCCGAACCATTTATTAAGGGCTTTTCGAATCCTCTCCTATGTAGAAATTCCCCAGCTAATGGTCTATGCAAGATAAGCGAAGTAGTTGCTGGTAGTGAACGTTTTTACCGCCTGTCCCAAGGCTGATAGCTTCTGCACATAATTCTTTGCCCCGAAGACTCATATACTTTTCCCAAGTCTCTATAGACTTTTCTGGATAAAGCCGAAGGTTACGCCTGATGTTGCTCTTTTAGAGTATGATGCTCAGGGATAGAGGCGAGGAACTCCAGAAGGATGTTCAATTTTATGGTAATCATCCGCCTTATGGAAAGTTTTCCTCCGAGTAGTCAAGTGGGCAGTGGCGATTTATCGACCCCGTCTAGCTCTGAGGCTCAGGGGTAACTATGAGATACGAGTAGTTGAAAGAAACAGCATGTGTTTCTGAAAGATGGTGGCGATCTAGCAATTATTCACTTTATGTATTTCGTAGATCGAATTATCTCTTACGAAAAGAACTCAACTTATACTCCGTATTGAGAATTGAATTGTGTTGCCATCTTCAACGTTGATCCCACTTATCCCACCTTGCTAGGAGTAGGTCTAAGTACTTACGGGTCAAAGATAGGTGCAGTGGGCAAAGTTTTGCTAAAGGTGCCCTAGGTCTCCATTCGACGAGCTTGGACGGCAGTGGACTGGTTACTTGCAGAAGAAAGCGCCTGAATCTATGACTAGTTAATGGTGCGTTTGCTAGTCGGTCGACTAGTTAGTTATCTGATCACCGCTGTCTGGCAGCATATCGAGACCTCCACTCATGGGTACGAGCAAGGCAAATTTACATGACCAATCCCAAGAAATGATAATGGAGGATCACACGAGTTCTTTCCCTATCTCTGCCTTTCGGTTTTAGCCTCCTGGCTTTATACGACTTCAGTGGGGCAAGATTCATGAACGTGCATTATTCCAGATGTATGTGTATTGGGGGGATCAAGATACTGTACGGATCCGATCTCTGGAAATACAGCCATGATGGAAAAGGCTCTCTATCTCCTAAAGATAAGGTGTGAGACACCTGCATGATGTAAACACCACCCCCGGTTTGGGAACCTATTTTTGATACGGAGTACCGGTAATCTGCTCCAATCTTAGCTACAGCTTAAAGGGCGAATACGACAGCGCTTACGGAGTACGGAGTACAACCTACTTACATAGTACAACCTGTCGCTATCATGGGACCACTACCGTCTGGCCTGAAGCGAAGTCCCACGCTGAAGGGACCCCCTCGCTGCATAAAAGATTGGGGTGACAAGCTCCGTAGTGTTGCTTTGTATATGTCAATATTATGCGTTTCGTGATCCATGGTTAGTCAATGCCCATTCTCCAAGGCTGAAAGAGTGCCTGTCCTACCTAGACATGCCAGTTCTCCACCAAAGAAGCGCCTTACAGCGTAGCGACCAAGAGGACCTCGTGGATTTGGCTGTCTAGGCCCTCTAGAAGCCGCCTGCCGCTACGGAGTAAGGAGGCGACGTTTAATCTCAGCCTCGACGGAGGATACATAAGCATCCGGACTCCCGTCCCTCGATCTCTGAGGTCGGCCTCTCTCTCCTGTCCGTCTATTCCAGGTAGAAACAAGATCGCTTCCTCTCGGCTTCAGGTCGAACTTCCCCCTTTTTCGTGAAATTTATTAGATAAGCATGTACGTCATGCCAAGCCTGTAGCCGCCAGCAGACACGCTAGTCCCCTTTCAGCGCTGACGTCAGCATCGCCTCTTCGTCTCCTTTCGGCAATTCTCGACTTCAGGCGACTTCGACTTCAACCTCATCGTCGTCTTCTGCGGAATCTGTCGCTCTTCATGGCATCGTCTGTGCTACGTTCTGGTGCTGCTTCGGTTGTTTTGTCCTGGTGGAAACACCCTCCTGTTGCTGCCAAGCGCAGAGCATGCTGAAACATTGACTTTCGCCGCCTCCTTTACCCCTTTAGCCAAGCTTCTCTAGCCCGCCATTAATATCGACATCTTATATACTCTGCTCGACCTGCAGCGTCCAACCGCCGAACTGGGATCTTATACTTACAGCCTGTCATCCTGCCTGCTGTCGTGGACCGGGTTTATTGACTTCGCCTTTCGTCTTGTCCCACCGATCGATCCCCAGGTTCCCTTTACCGCCGGTTCGACTTCGTTCTTCTGCCGTGGCGGGGGGTTGAAAACTAGGCTAAAGTCGTACCGACGCTATCAGCTACACCCACCATTCATCTATTGGTGGTTGACTGGCATCTTTTTTTTTCCTTATAAACGACCAGAGACAGCACGCTCGAACGGATTCTGTTCAGACCCTCGTGTTTGTGCGTTGCGTGTTGTTCGTAAAGCCGCTCCAGTTGATCGACGCTAACACGACCTGGTGCCTGCATCCCCCTCGACCGGCCGGGGGCTTGCTTCGTTGTCTTTTTCCACCCTTTTCCTCCTTCCCTTACGGAGCATCCTATGTGGCCATTATTATCAACCACCTCTCCTTACACACGCAACAGGAACTGTTCGGCTTTTTCTGCTATCCTTCGTTTCGAACTTTCCCCTCCCTATTTTCGAAAAGTTGCCGTGTAGCTGAGCACAACTGTGTGGTGGTTCTGCGCGAATCAGGAAAAAGGTAGGGTTAAATCCTCCTCAGCTTTCGGCTGTTTTTCGGTTTCAGCTTCGCCCATATCCCCCCCCTATTGGCCGCGCGGGTGTCGTTCTTGTCTGCTGCTTGTTCTTTTGTACTCGAACCTGTCGATCGCCTCAGTTCAGACGAATAACTCCGTCTCTGTACCTGTATCAAATCCTTGATGGGGTCAAGGCTGCTCACGGAGCGCTCTATCTGATACAGAACCATAACAAAGGGCGGAGCAAAAGCGGGAGCCACGCAGGAGAACAAGAGCCCAGACGAGAATTAGGATTCGAAGAGGAAAAAAGAACAAGGAGAATCCACGACGAGACAGAGAAAAAGTCAGCCCTATTTCACGGCATTCTGTTTTTCTTGTTGTATCTCCATGTTGCACGAAGCCTTTCCAGTGATGTTCTTTATCCCTTGCCCGTTGGAGGTTGCTTTTTTTTGTGGTCGTCTGCAGCCATCTTCGACGTGCAACGCATAACTACCATGTCCTGTCATGTTTGTTGCCTTGTCGATTCCTTCACCGTCTCCTGAAATTGACTGTTGTCTTGCGTTTTTTTGCTTCTTTACGGGAACATGAACTCGGCTTACACTGGTCACTGTCTAGAATCGTATCCTCGACGTGAACGCAGCGGTTCCCCATCTGCCCTTGGGGTCCCCCTTTTCGTGTCACCCTTTCTACTATCCGCGACTGCTCATATCTCACCAACGCAACCTGCCGCTTGAAACAGCCCGAAGCCAACAATATTTACACCGTTGATGGCCTGTGCCTGACACTGCCATCCTGTCGCCCTGGCTTTCCTTGGAGGCTATAACACATACGTGGTGCAGGGAGCGTGTCTGATCAATCATCGCCTGGCATAACTGTCTTCGCCCGTTGCGTTGGAGCCCAACTCCGAACATAGCCCCCGCATACCTTGTTTGCTGGTTGACAGAACGAGGATCCTGATCCAGAGTCCACGTTTCGGCGGAGCATTCTTCCCTGAGTTTATGCCAGTGCGACGGCATTGCAGCACACAGTAACAACCCGGGCTGGCTTGTCCGGTTTTATATCTAGAACGGTATGCTACTTGTCAGGCGCAACTCATTTCAGCCCGATATCCCTTTCCTCGCTTCTGCCGTTCCCTGCATTTACCTACATTGCCAATACTGTCGATATGACTGACCTCGTCGATTATAGCAAAATCCCCGATCCTTTGTTGCCTTCAGGCACAACACTCCTTTACCACGCTCATATTCCCTTTTCAGCCCTCATATCGACATATCAGATCTCTCGGTGCATTCCCAAGGGGAGGCCGAATAGATCTTCAGCCTACATATCCGCGAACATGGCCAGAAAATCGATCCAAGTATCTCCATCGCAGCTTGAAAAGTCCAGCCGTGAGACATCTCCTCAGTCGAAAACATCCCCATCCCAACAGCTTAGCCCTACGTCGACATTCCCAAAGGGATCAACTATCAGACCCGTCACGTCCACATCATCAAACGAGCCGGTTCGGGAGCCCGAAAATGTGACAAACAAGGCTGAACATTCACAAACACCAGCGATAACTGCCATTCCACCATACCCTCCCTCATCCCAGCAGGCCAATAAACACGCCCGTGATCCATCCAAATCTTTCTTCTCCAACCTCAAAGCGTCGAAATCTGCCCAGAAAATACATCTTTCAGACGCGTCCAGTGGCCATTCAGGAGAAGAAAAATCTTCGATGAGTCGAGGGAGCTCTAGGGATAGGGCTGGCCGTGGCACCGCGACGCGAACGTCACCGAAACCCGATTCACCTAAACAGACTGACAAACCTAACAGTATGTATGCACCTGGTTTCACTCACATTACAACGCTAACCCTGGCCCCTTGCCCCTTGTCGCTAGGCGATACAAGTGAAGATCGCCAGTCCCCCCCTCTGCGCTCCGCAAGCTTAAAACCAGCTGAAGACTCCGCCTCGACTTTCAACCCACCAATACTTCCACCATCTTCTTCCTCAGCACCACCCGCACCTGCAGCAATACATTCCCTCAACCCAAAGAAAAGCAAGCCACGCTTTGGAGGCTTGCTGGCTCGCACACGCTCCATCCGTGCTGACGACGGTCTACAAAGCCCCCGTTCAGCCGGGCCCAAGAAACGTCCCTCGAATGGTCTGCTACGCCTTGAAGAGACCAATACCGATACCGATCCTCCACTGAAGACCGCTCCTCTGCAACAAGAGCGGACATTCAGAGACGTCATGGGCTCGACTTCTCGCAACCGTTCCGCCGACCGACCAGCAACTCGAGATGGCAGTAGAACACTCTCTTCCAACCAGAATAGCGGCAACTCTCAGCGAATACAAACTACTGCTAAGCGAGAACGCAGCCATGGGAGCTCAATGATGAGTTCAGTGGCAAGCTCGTCACTTTTTAGCAACATCAAAAACACCTCCAGCGGTGCCGCAGACCGTATCGGCAAGGCTGGCAAGGGATTCTTCGGAAAAATCGCACGGAGTGGTAGCAGCAACGAACGAGAGGTTGTCCAGGATGACAACTATGTGTGCTCTGTTATTAATCTGCCTCTAGTTGAGCAGACACGGCGAACCAGAATGGTGAAGAGTTTGAGAAATTCCAAGGACAAGACAGAATTTTGGATGCCTGCTTTACCATGGAGGTGCATTGAGTATGTTTACACATCATATTTTATTTTCAAGAGTGATCTCATCGTGCATTGATACTGATTGCTTTTTTTGCTAGTTACCTTAATTTTAAAGGTTGTGAAGAAGAGGGCTTATATCGTGTTCCTGGAAGTGGGAAGGAGGTGAAACACTGGCAACGACGGTTTGATACAGGTTTGTCTACCCTGTCCGCAACTCTCGAGTAACGCAGCCTGCTAAGACATAGATAGAACTCGACATCAACCTATTCGATGAACCCGATCTCTACGATATCAACACCATCGGATCCATGTTCAAAGCCTGGCTCCGTTGTCTCCCTGATGAAATCTTGCCAAAAGCGACTCAGGCGAAAATTGCTGCTGAGTGCCCTGGTGCCACCACTGCACCACAGCTACTCAAGGATGAACTTTCCAAGCTTCCTCCATACAACTACTACCTTCTCTTCACAATCACATGCCACCTCAGTCTCCTCCATTCATACGTTGACAAAAACAAAATGGATTACCGCAACTTGTGCATCTGTTTCCAGCCTTGTCTGAAAATAGATGGGTATTGCTTCAATTTTCTTGTCTGTGACTGGAAAAACTGTTGGCAGGGATGTTGGACAGAGAAGGAACATCTTGAAATCGAGGCGGAGCTCGATAGGCAGGAGAGGGAAAAGCAACAGCAGCAGAATGGCCATCCTTCAGATACTTCTGCTGTAGCACCTTCGAGGACCTCCGGCGCAACGGGTGAAGAGAGAGCCATCTCGTCGTCGGGTAGCAGTCAGCCACCGCCACAGGTGCAACAATCGCCCCAACACTCACCTCAGCAGTCACCGCAGCAATCGCCTCGACAACAATCGCGTAACTCTGCAGACTGCACGGACGGAGCGCGTGCTATACCGCCGAGACAGGACTCGACCCGCTCCGTCAGCCCCAAGAAGACCGCTAAAGAAGTGGCCCGACCCAGCAATCATTCGCGATCAACTTCCCAGCTGCCCGAGCTGGGTCCTCCCTTATCGCCTATCCGCTTTTCTACGGAACTGACAACCTGATATCCTTGAATTATCTTTCCCACTCGCTGACTTACTTCCCTCCAGGCATACGTCAGGCTCGAAGCAGATGGCACTCCCCTAATAAAGCGTATCATACCCCTTGCTTCACTCTCCCCCTACAAACCAATCTTCGTTCTCAGATAATCTTTTTCTCATCTATGTTCCGCAGTGGATTGCGTTGCTTCACCTATTCCCATTCCCTGTTACAACTTCAAGCACTATGTCCTTCTAAAATATGATTCCCTCCACAATCACCAGACGATACCATTCTCCTTACCTGATTTTCTTTAATGAGCTGTCCCTTTTATCACCTTTTCTTCCCCCCTCTCTCCGGCTGGCTTTTTGACGACTTTTTGCGGTATTTGCTTTTTATTGGTCCTACGTGGAAAGCATTGGTTCGGCGCATCGAGCGATTTGATATCTTCGTTGGCGTTGGCACATTCAATTCTACTTCTGTTTCGTCATTTCCCGCCTGTTACTTTTGGTCCTGCGGCTTTTG